CCCGTGACACTGTGTCACTGTGTCACACACCTAGATGGCGTCTTCAGGCGTTTCCAGCAGGGAGCTACAGTGATGCCGCTGCTCTAGAGAAAGTCTGACTCTGCTGTGGGACACTGATCCTGCCCCAGGTCTCCCCAAAGAACAGATGGCAGAGGCTTAGGCATCTGTGTACCAGAATTGTCGGCTGTTGTCAGCAGCAAGAAGGCATGCATGACTAGATAAGCACAGGCGGCTGTGCAGACATACCAAGAATTACCCGTGGCCTGGAAAGGAAGGCATTCCTGCCCTCATCACAACATGGATGGACCTTGTAGGCTTTGTGCTATGTGAAATAACCAGTTGCAAGGAAACACTTCTGGGAGTCCACCTCTTTTTGAGTTCCTTGGAATAGTCTGTTCACAGCGGCAGAAGTAGGGCAGAAGCTTCACAGGCTGTGGAGTTCGTGTCTGACCTTGTGCAGTGATGGTTGGACAACACTGAATGTTGGATTGCTGGCCTGGAATCCCAGCACATGAGAGGTAGAGGTAGGAGATCATCCTCAGATCACAAGAAACCAAAAAGTGGACCACAACATTGCTAGCTATGGAGTTTTTAGTTTTTTTTTTTAATTATTAACATATTATAAAAATACATAGCTTGATGAAGTATTATAAACAAAATAAAAAATGGGTTGTATCAAGAAAGGGCTGTTCCCTTTGCCCCTGGTTTCAGTCTTAATGTGAGCACTAGGAAAATGCAGGAGGCAGATGCCTCTCTGCCAAAGCCCTCTGCCCATCAGAGCAGCAGCCCTGTCTTAGGAAAGCTGGGAACGAGAGGACTGGCCTCCTGCATGGGCATTCAGAAACCTGCTGAGTACGATCCTAACACACATGCCTTCAAGAACATGCAAAGCAGAACGTGGCACTGAGAACGAGGCTGTCACCAAGACAGATGTTGCCTCCTCATGCTTCACCTGGTACGTTGGGCATGCGGAATGCTGGGCAAAGGTCCGGTATTGCAGTCATGAGTAGGTCCTGACTCTAATTCTACTTGAAAGTTCCACAGCTACACCGTAAGTGTTCTGCATACATCAAGGTGATGGGCGTGTTAATCTGACGAAATCAGTTCACAATGTGAATGTAGAATTATCACCAGGAAACAATCTGCAGCATTCAGCCCACTTGAAACAGGAATTTGATATGCGCTGGGATCACCAGCCGACTTCCCTGGCGGTCCTGTTGCAGTAGCTGCACCTGTCAGCTTCTTCCTGGGTGGGGGAAGGCAGCACAGGAGCCTGAGGTGCAAGGTCACACTGCATCCTTGTTCAGTAGCACCGTGAACGTCTGTACCCACTTGGGTCTAGGACCCCCAGCCCATGCAGTGGCCACACTCATCTTTAGAATGGGTCTTCCCACTTGATTAAATGGAATGTACACAACTCCTCACTGGCTTGCGTGAACACTAATAATCATCACCTGCCACTCACAAAACAACAGCAGAATGGTAGCCCTGGTCTCAGCAGAGCAAAGTCGTTAGACACACCCTAGGATGTCAGAACAAGACTCTGAGGAACCGTCACAACCAAGAGCCAAAGGAGACAAGATGGTGGACCGTGCTGTGCCCTGGATGAGATTCTGGAGAGGACCAGGACAGAGAAGACTTGGAAGTCAGAATGAAGTGTGCACTTGATTGAGTGACAGGGACACAGCGTGGGTAGATGGGAGCGCTCCCAACTGTGCCACCTCTGGTGTGACACCAAGTCTGATGCAGTTGACAGTAGGTGCTTCTGAATTGTGGAAGTGGGGACTCCGACCTCATCATAAAGGCTCACTACCTCTGTGGACAGAGCCAGCTCTGCTGCTGGGACATCTTCCAGGACCACACATCCCGCTGCTCTTCGGTCCTGTCGCCCTCACTGACTAAGACGTGAGAAAGGACCCCAGCAGAATCTCCTGGAGATACCAGCTCTCTGCTTGGTGATCCAGCAACATTTCCATATTCAAGACAGGCCACATTCCCCAGTCACAATAGAGACTTCTGAGGGCAGTTGGGCCTTGTACAGCACATACCTGATCAGACCTGTTCCAGCCACCCGCTAACAGTGCTAATCTACACCTGGTACTGCAGCATCACAGAGACCCAGGTCAGTTCAGCTGCCTAGCGTGCAGACAAAGCCATACACTGGTTCCTCCAAGTGCTCCATCCCGGCATCTAGCAGGCCAGCAGGGACTGTCCTTACAGACACAACTGTTAATAACACACGCCCTGCCTTTAGAGGGGCTGCTGACCCCATCCCCGGCAATGGCAGGAGTCATCTACATGCAACATGGAGCCTTTTGCAAAGGGCTCTTCTGTACGAGCAGTGTGGGTGTCACCGCCTGAGGAGCCCGCCTAGGGCAGACCCGTGTAGCCTCAGCTGGGCTAAAGCCGGCAGGTCCACTTCCTTAGGACCTGCTCCTGCTGGAGCAATGTCTCCGTACAGGTACAGCTCCTCCAACTTCAGCCTGGGGGTGGCTCCTGCTTCTTTCCTGGCTTCTCTTTCTGGTTTCGGGCTTCTGACTTGCCACAGACCTCAGTAGCCATCTGCTCTGGCTTCTTTTTCTGTCTCTGCCCTGACATGCTTGCTGTCCAGCTCCCAAGGCTACAGCCAGGGTTCAAAGAAAAAACTCCACAGTGTAGCAAGCCTAAGCTTAAGGGTTTTTGTCTTTTTTGTGTTTTGTTTTGTTTTTATCTGAGGGTACAGGAAAAGTTTACACAGGTGCTTCTCGGGTCATGCTCTTTATCTGTCTGTTTTTCTGTCCTCTAATTGTCTCCCAGGTTCTTCCTGGTTCTCCTGTGCCTCTGTTCTCCGTCCCAGTTCTCTCTTCTCTGTTCACCCGGCTTAAATGCATTTTTTTATAGGACGCTTGAGCAGTAAGAAAAAAAGCTACAAGAGTTACATCTCCTTGTCATAGCATATTCCTGGGGTAAACAATAAGGAGCCAAGCCATTTACCGTGGCAATTCAAGGTTCAAGGTTCTAGGCACAAGACTGTGACCAGAGGCCGGGGTGCAGTGCCCGGGTGAGACAAGCTGCAGACAGATCTGCACAGGAGAGTCAGGTTTTATTGGCCAGACTTGGCAAGCGAAAAATTGGTCTGATTTTTTTTTTTTAGGTTGTTTTGTGTTAATAACCTTGGTTAGACATCTGTAACTCTGACTGTGTGCATATCTGTAAAGGTTTTCACTTAGGATCCATGTACAGAAACATTCAGTCTAGTTTGAACTTGCTCTGAGGTAAGAATGTGTGGTTAGGTTAGAGTGGGGGAAATTGTTGTTTTCTTGATTTAGCCTGAGTAAAAGGAACAATGCAGTCCTTGTGGGACAGTAGATCTGGCTATGAAGCATGTCCTAGTATGTTTTCTGTATACCCAAGTTATGCGGCTTAATGAGAAGTCATCATCCTGACCGTCCACAGAGTGGTCCAGAGTAGGACCAGGGAGGAAGGGTTGGGCTGTGGGCCAGTGAAGGCTCAAAGCCACAAAGGTACAGCAAACCTCGGGTGACTGGTCACCCTAGAGAAAGACCTGATGAGACAAGAGGAAGCTGAGCTGGGACTAAGCCTGCAGGCTCTTGTTTGTCCGACACAGAACAAATGTGTGTCTTTCTCCAAACTCGGGGCTCCTATTGCTGCTGTACCTAAAAGAAATCCTGGTTAACATCCTGCACCAATAATATTTGAGAGTCTCAACTGCAGTTCTGGGAAAGGCCTGGGGGGCAGGGGGGGTAAGGTGAGCCTTAGACAGTCAAGTGATGAGGGCTGTCTGCTCTTACAGCACATAACCCCAAAGCTGTGGCAGTGAGCTGGGAAGTCTTGCTGCCTCCATCTTGCTTGTGTGTGAACCTGGAGGGCCTAAGACCATTTTGGCCTCTGTGGGGTGGTTGGTCATCAGGAATTGGCCCCACTGTTTTGGGGGGGGCCTGGGGACAGACATGCTTTGATAATCACCTTGTAAATAAAGCAGAGATGAACCGTACTTCCCCTGCAGCCTCACACTGAGTGTACTGGACAGAGGGGTCCCCAGGTAGTGTCTTCATCTTTCCTTTCTTCCCTCATTGCAGATGGCCCACACGGATGCTGTCACCCATGAGATTGTTGGCTTTCTTGACCAGATCTTGTACAGATCGGATCACTTTTGTGCCGAAGCCTCACGAAAACTGGCCGGAGAGCTCCTTCAGGGGCTGAGCTCAGGCCCGGCTCGGGTCTAGCAGGCAGCATAGAAAGTACAGGGCCTGCATGGAGTCTGTCTGGTGGGCCCAGAACCAGGAGGGTGCCGACCACATCGTGTGGTGCCGCCTGGCAGGGAGGGCCTGGATCACCTGTCACGTCCCAGTCTCGCATGGTAACAGCTAGCTCTGGCTGGCTCTGGCCGGTTTGCTGACTCACTTTGTCCTTCCCATTCTGATGACATTGCCAGTGATGGGGAGCTGCCCGGTGGCCTGAGACCTGAGCCCTGCAGAGGATGAGGCTGCGCCGTGCAGATGACGCCTGCTCCTTTGCTCCTCAGTGCAGAAATGCTGCAGTGCATCCATTGCAGCTGAGGGAACAGAGGCGGCCAGGGAAGCGTCTGTGCTTCCTCCTCCCCATGCCCCAAGAAGGCAACAAACAAACCCAAACCCTACCTCTTGGGTGGCCCATGTCTAGTAAAACAGAAGATTTGGGAACTGAAAATTTGTAAATCTCTCTTCTTCACTTGCTGTAGACAGGAGTCCTGGGCGTGTGAGCAGAGAAGGCCACCAAGCTGCGGTCCTGTGGACTTGCTACAAGAACCCCTGCCCATGTGCAGATCGGCCTCAGTACTCAGCACATCCCCCCGGGGGGGGGGGGGGGGACACGTGATGGCTACCGTCACAGTCACGTCGAGGCACTGTGGCCTAAAGTGGAGGGCACTGGCTTTCTCTTGCATCTGTGCATCTGGGCTCAGTCAGCAGCCAGGGAAACCACTAACCAGCATGTGTGCTTGGTCCCTGTCTTTTACCCACCCTGCTGATGGGCCCACCGCACTGCCAAGCTGCTCACAGGAGGATGTGGCTGGACTTACCTGTTCCATTCTAAATAAAAACTTGTACTTAATTTTATAGTCAATGTTTCCCAAAGAGTAGAAACCTTCCCGTTCCTATCTGTAAAAGCTTAGGATCTTACAAACCTTAGACCTGGCTTGGAAAACCAATTGTGACTCACCTTCAGGACAAGCTGGGGTTCTGTCGCCAGAGAAGGGAGGGTGACTGGAAGACAGAGAGATATGTGTGTCCTCAGAGTTGGGTTACATGTTCCGTGTAAGCCAAACTTGATTATAACCACACACACCTCCATTTTCTTCTCCCTGTGTGTTCACACACGTGTGTCCCTCCTCAGTCAGGAAGGATGGGATCATGTCCACTCTGCTACCCTATGACTCAGCCCACCCAGGCATGACCAGTCTGGGTGACCTGTGCCAAGCATTTTGTCACTTCCCTGGTTGCTCAGTCACCTGACACGGCATACCAGGTCATCTGACCACAGACGAGAAAAGAGTCTCATATCTGAGCTCCAGGCAGCCAGCTCCTTGTAATGGTGTTTAGCTTCTCAGTCTATTTCCTCCTAATGGTCTGAAGTCCAGGGATAGAGGAGGCCAGGTCTACAGGGGGCCAAAAAAAGTCTGTAACACAGAGACACGGATGGTGCACGGTTGGCAGGGTATCTCCTAGTGCCACAGAATCCAGGACAGCCGTAGTCAGAGGAACATGTGGAATGAATGAACAGCGTGTGCTTCCCTCTTTCTTTCCCTCTCTTTCCAACCGGAGTATGGTGCTGCTCCTAGCTAGATGCTGAACTTTACCATGAAGTCTTTGTTTTATGAAACTTATGAGCCATTAACCATCAGAAGCTATTCACAGCCCGCAATTCAATGTTAAGACAAAATAAGCATCTAAAAACCAGGCCCTCATTTGTTCCACCCAAGATGAACCCCCTCCTCTAAGCCTTTTGGGCACACACCTTCTGCACCACGCATGTGGGTGGGAATTGTGTGGTGTGATACAGAAAACACTGTACCTTTCTGTAGAAAGGACTGACACTCTGTCCTCAGTGGTCCACACACAGTGTGAAGTCCACAGGGTGGAAAGGAAACAGTGCGGGTGTGCATGTGCCTGCCCTGCCGGCCTGCAGACCTGCCCTGCAGCTCTAGCTCAGACAGCGCCTGCCCCCATGGTTGTGGCAGAAAGGCGGGTTCTGAGCTGATACTACATTTGTGGCCTAGAATACAGGAAGGGTCTGTAGCTAGGGAGGTCCCCATGGCTCTCCCAGACCCAGGAAGCAGCACAGCAGCACAGAGGAATGTTGGCAAGAAGTTCTCAAATGAGGTGTAACCAGTACTGGCGTTGCTGTATTTTGCTGTAGGGCTGAGCTAGAAGCACCCCATCCCTCAGTGTTGTGGACCAACACATCAGACATTCCAGATGCCACACCTGGTTGTCCTCTCTACAGATGACAGAAAACCAAAAACCACAGGAGACTGATAAACTGCCTCCTGACTACATACAAACAGTGACCTGAAAAGCATGTGCCACATAGGACCAGAAACCACTGCTCCAGCCAGGCAGTGAAGTGACCCCAGCACGGGAGGCAGAGGCAGGCAGATCTCTGGATTCAAGGCCAGCCTGGTCTACAGAGTGAGTCCTAGGACAGCCAGGGCTACACAGAGAAATCCCGCCTCAAAACAAAAAAGTTACTTCTCTAAATTTGAAACTTCTTAGACAAATCAGTAAGAAATGACCACCAACCCAAGAGACATGATGGGAAAATACAAACGCTTTCTAAACACTGGAAAGGGGCTTACGTTGTGTTAGAAAATGCAAGTGAGTACAGTTATAGCTCCACAGTGTGCTGGAGGTCTGCAGAAAGGCTCCGACAGGCAGGGAGTCGCTGCTGCTTTTGTTGACTGCAAGTGGCCACATGCTAAACTTTTGAGTGCACATCTCCTAGAAACAGTACGGTAACAGTCACATCCAGAATCCACCTGTGTTTACTTACCCCAAAGAAGGTAAGGTGAGCATTTGGGTGAGACCTGCACACCAGTGTCCAGTCACTGAAGACCGGAGTGGTAGAGTGCCCTGCACACAAATGACAAGAGTGTCAGTCACGTTTACCAAAGGGATGGGGCTTCTGAGATGGCGCAGCAGGTGAAGGCACTGCACACCCGACGTGAGCATCACCCCAGCGCCGACATAAAGGTCGGAGAGACCCGAGGCCACTCAGTTGTCCTCTGCTCTCTCATGTGCACCACGCTCACCCTCCACGTCACGCACACATGCAGGATAATTATAAATACAAAAATTTTTAAGAATGAAATCCTCACAGATTCCAATATGGAAGATATTACGCTAAGCTAGACTGGCTGGACCGATGCTAAAAAACATTGCAGCATTCACACACCATCCCTAGAACAGAGAAGCGCATGGTAGTCTAGTGGTGCCTCCAGGGACTTGGGAGAGCAAGGGATGGGGTTAGTCTGAGTACAAATGAGATTCTGTTTCGTAAGAGAAAGTTCAGAATACAGATGGTGGTGTCACCAGCACTGACGTCTGCTGCCAAAACACCACAGCATTGGATTCTATGCTGTGAGTATTTTACCACAATAAAACCACTAAAATCTAGTCTGTCCTCCCTGTAATACACATCTCTTCGGGTGTCCTTTCCCATGTCACATGCCCTGGATTCCAATGGCAAGCACACTGGAGTTCCCTCAGATGCTAGTACCTCTCATACACAGAACCAGGGCTCTAGGGTGTAAGCCTAGAGGTAAGCCCTCCTAAGTGAGGTACAGAGCTTAGGAAGGAAAGCACATCCAAGGCCTGGCTCTGCCACCAGGAATTCACACGAATTAACTCGTCCAGGTTAGCATGTGGCTAACAGATGAAAATAGCTGTTTGTGTCCAGTTACAGAAGAGACCAGTGATTGAACAGAGGACTCCAGCAACTGTGCATACATGAACCAAATCTGTAATTACTGTGTCCATGGATTCTTTACCCAAGGAGTCAACTAATGCAATAGAAACGCCTTAAAAGAATGTGTTTCCTGACCTCATTCAAACTTCTTTCCTTTTTGTTCCCTCTTAACACAGCATTCAACTATTTCCAGTTCATATCATCTTGTGCAGGTAGCCTAGGGATGGTATGAGGAGAGGCAGGGGATGTGTCCAGCACTGTGGGTCCAGGTGCAGTGGTGCACGTCTGTGGTCCCAACTCCAGAGAAGTGGGGGTGGGAGAATCTGAAGGTATCCTAAGGGACACCATCTCCTATACAGACTTGGATGTCACAGACTTTGGAATTTGTGAAGAGCACCATTGCTCTCCCTCGTAGGGTGATGGTCTGTGTGCTTGCTGGACCATGGTGGAGATGTCTCTGTTGGGGGTGAATGTAGGAATGAGCGTTCTCACAGTGATTGGCTGAGGCAGAGACAAGGTAAAAAGAGAGAAATGTCCAGTTTTCAGAGTTTCTGCTTGTGTGCACGTCTGGTCTGTGGAGAAAGAAATGGGAGGAGGGAGGAAGAAGGAAAAGGGAGGAGGAGGAAGGAAGCAGGAAGGCTGTGGTCTCCTGTACACGAAGACAGCTTCTTGGTTGATTTAGGAGGGGTTTTGTCAAACAGTGCTGAGTGAAACAGGCCATCTGTGACTTTAAAGGAGACATCTGCATTCCCTGTGCCTTCGTCAGCATGGTGACACTTTCCCTGCTTCTCCCGAATCCTCGCAGTCCAGCATCTCTCTAGCTGGAGCCATGTGTTCCGCCATGCATCCTGAGGTTTCGTGTGCCCAGCCTTACTCCACAAACCTCATCTTCCCAAAGCCTCCCACCCCTGGGCAAACCTCACAGCTGTCTCCATCCTTCGCAGGCCGTGCTGCTGAGTCTCCGGAGACTTCAGCACTGAAGTGTGAGGTCAGGAATGAGGTGAGGCTGTGTAGTCCCAGGTGGCTTGGCTCAGCCTCTCAAAGATGGGAACTCCACCAGGTTTAGAAGCCTACACTTCTCCCACAGGTTATCTCAATCCAGACAGTAGGCAGCAAGGGAAGATCTACCGGAGTGTAAAAGAACTGTGTGGAACTTGGTACCCTCAGTGGTACAATTAGGAGTGGTTGCCGCACAACCCCACTGCCATGCCATGGGCACAGCGCTGCTGCTGTGCAGACCCGAGCAGCAGTGCACCAGACCAAAATGGGGCTTAGACAAGGCAGGATGGTGACAAAGGTGACGTCAGAAGTCAGAGACCACCAGGTGGCAGCGATGCTCACATGTAATCCCAGCAGAGGCAGGTAGAGCTCTGAGTGTGAGGCCAGCCTGGTCTACAGAGGTAATTCCAGAACAGCAGGGCTACACAGAGAAACCCTATCTTGAAAAACCAAAAGAGAAGGAGGATGAGGAGGAAGAGGAGGAGGAGGAGGAAGGGGGGAAAGAAGAAGAAATCAGAACCCACAGGCTACACACCCATTGGACTACACAGCCACAATAAGCCACGTGGCCTGGCCTGTCATCTCCCTGGTGGACAGCCTTCCTAGAATGCCTTGAAACAATCTCTGTTAGGGGTCCCCTAGCCTCCCTGGTCCCCCATCCCGACAGTGGCTAGGGAAGGTTACTACATAGACAGGAGACACTAAGTGAACCCAGGACAGGCGAGAAGAGATCCGGTACCCATCCCTATTCAGTCCTTGGAGCTCAGAATTTAACCCAAGCCTATTTTATCTCATGGCACTGAAATGAGCAGGTTTGATAGTATGAGCTGTCTGCAGAAGGGCCGTGTATCTCCAGCCTTCCCACCCCCCCCCCCCCCCACGTACACACACACACACACCAGCCAGGCTTCAAGGGCCATCATCAGCTGCTGAGGACACATTCGGGTGACTGTGTACTCTAGCTTCTTTTGTCTCCTAGGCTTCCTTGAAAACGGGGCATGGACACTCCCAACTGGCTCAACCTCCAAAGCAAGGCTTCTTTCTCTGGCCAGTCATGCCATGTGGGGCTACAGCATCCCAGCCAAGGGATGCTGGACACACACCAGGGCCAAGGGGCAAGGTTCTTGGCAGCCCACCCTGTCTTGCAAAACTTCCTTTCACAGCTTGCACATGGTCACCTTCCTTTTCATACTGTCTGGTCACTGGGCTGGAAGAGAACAGCCTTATTAGTCCATCAATCTCGCAGACAGCACCAATGGGCAGGAGGGGGCTATAAAACTTTGCCCTGAATAGCAGGACTGCTCCCCACTCCCACCTCGTAAACCCCACAGACCGGCTAGGGGGCCAGTTTCACTATGGCTGCCTGGAGTTCACAGTCCTCAATGAGACTACTCTCTGCAACCTTCCCTGGGAGGATGAGGCGGCTCCCAACCCCCAGCCCTGGGAGCCTGAGCTGGGATGGGGCTAGGCTATTCCAGGGGCTCTCTCTCCGTCTGAGGGCTGCTACCATCTTGATGGCTCTTTTGAATTTGGTGGCTAAGACGGAAATGTCCCAGGGAGGGAGCCTTCTAAGGGGCTGACTAATCACCAAGATTTTGAAACCAATGCTAAGCCCCAGTGGGCAGCATCCCTGTACCTTGGGAATAGGTATGGCAGCCCAACCACCAGGGGAGTAAGGACAGCCAAGGCCACAAACCCGGCACCCAGGTCTGCTTGGGAGGCATGGCTGTGGCACACTGTGCTCCTCCACTGGCTGGCTCCGTCCACAACCCACCTGGTGGTGAGCTGAATTGGAGCATGAAGCCTGCACAGGAGTCCTTCAGATCCCAAGCTCCTGAGTACGCTTTCTGTTGCTCACTGGGCAAGAGCTAGCTGCTTTGGAGAGACAGCTGTGACAAAGGCAATGCTGTGGAGGACAGAGGTCCCTATGTGCACATCACAGCAGCACTTGTGGCTGTCCACTGGGCTTCTGAAGTTTCCTGCTGAACCATGGTCAGTAGAGAAGCTGGTAGGAGCTTGGCACTGGCCTGGAATGGATCCTGCAGAACCTTTTCTTCATTTTAAAGGGATGGCTTAAGTTTAGGAACATCTGTTGGTTCTGGCCCAGGGGCATGCCATGCCATTTCTGCTTACCATAAGCAAGGATGACTTGCTAGGATACAGATCATTTCATTCTTTTGATGCAAAATTCCATGAAAAATAAATGCTTTAAAATTCTCTAATTCTACAGGAGCAGCTGAGAGAGAGAGAGAGAACCCAGAGCCCTGAGACTTTCTCAACCCCCCTCTCTTCCCTTCCTGTCAGAGTCCAGTCAGAATTCCCAGTTCCTTTCCCATGGCTGTGGCCCAAAGCCCCACAGACAGGGTGGTGGGAGCCACTACGGGTGAGGGGCTACCAGCCAGTCAGCCCGACCATTCCCGGGGCTCACTTCTCCCCCACCAATCAGGGTGTGGTGAGGACAGATGGCTGCCTTTCTAAGCCTGCTTCAGGATACGTAGAGGGACAGCACACACTGCTGCTTTCTCCCCGTGCAGAGAACCACGGTCCACGGGGCAACATCAGAGGGTCCAAATGTGCCGTCTTCCTGCGGACATGGCCTCTTGAACCAGGCAGAACCTGTCTCGGCACTGGCCACGACTTAACTGAGGCCTGTCCTAATCCACGTTGGAAGTCTCTGCAGACGACCTGGGTTTAAAGCACTCATCTGGAGGAGATGGTGTGACGGTTAGGCTGCCTAGCTACTGGAGGGACAGGCAGCCAGGTCAGGGGTGGCTGCTGTAAGGACAGGCTGGCACAGCTCGGGAGACTAGTGTTCCTGCTAGCCTCACCCACCTCTTGGCAGTGAGCCCACAAGGATCCTCCAGTCACAGCCCCTCTGCCTACTGCTGGCATCAGCCTGTTGGCATGATGTCTGTTATCATCATGTTAACATGATGTTAGGTTATGTCTTACCCTTGGCCTAAAAGTGAGAAGCTGGCATCTTCACCAGGAACCTATGTGACTTCTTAGGGCTGATGTTTCAAGCCTGGGGTACAAGGGGGAAACCCTGGGTTCCTCCAGAAATGGCTGGCAAATGGCCTGGAAATAGTGCTGGCAACAAGCATGCCGGGCCATCAAGCAGTCTCTGTCCTTCCCACACTTGAGAGGCAGACTCAGGCCCAGCCAGGCTCAAGTTTACATCTGCGCGGTGGGAGGGACGGTTCCAAGCCCCTGCAGCAGAGTGGTGGGGCAGGGCGTCAAACGCTCTGATGACCAAGCGCTCACACCGTGGGGCTACACACACCGTGGGGCTACACACCGTGGCACATGGCAAACACTGACCCGGCGATCTAGTCCACGTCTTACCTGTGATTTCACTCTGCCCCACATCTGATCTCAGCAGCAGGCGCCCGGGGTGACTGGCCACATCTTCCCCCACCAGCAATTCACTCATAACTGGGTCAAATGCAGTAGGGAGAGCTCCTCCTTGGATGAGGCACCACTGTGGAGGTATTAAGCAACCTGGCATTCTTCCTCACTCAAACCCTGGTCTATGTCCTATTGACAGAAGCTAACGATGCAACGCTCTGAGTACCGTGAGGTCAGGTGACTCATGTAAGAATGCACCCTTCTCGAATCCAGGAGTCTCAGCCAAGTGAGGGAAGTCTTCCAAGCCTCTACTGCAGTGATGTGGGGCAGGAGCTGCTGCCTACTTTGGGGGGCAGGGCTGTTCTGTGTCTGGCCGGAGATGGCAAAGGCCAGCTCTACCACAGATCCTCCACCGAATTTATGACACAGGCATCCAGTCCCAGTGACGCTTCCACTGACCTGAAGCCATTGGCAAAGAACCCAAGCAGTCAAAGCAAGACACAGGGCTCAGTGATCCACAGAGACAAGGGCACTCGCCCCCTGAAAAATTGCACCTTTGCTTTGTTTTAGTGGTTCCTAAGGAAGTCAAAGAACAAAACCAGACCAAACCAGTACTTGGCTGGTCACCCCTAGTTCACTGGACATAGAGAACGTTGAGGTTCTTACAGAAGGGCCTTGTGGGTGTGTGGTCCCCATTTCACGTCTAGCAAGCCCAAAGTGCATCTGAGAGCCAGGCAGCCACAGACTCGGCCTTTTATTTCAGGTCTTCACAGAAAGCAGTATACTATCACGTTGGATTGAACACATTTTGATTCTTCTGCCATCACAATACACAATGCAGTCACTGGTATGACCCAGGCTCTCAAGACCAAGGGTTCTTTGCCAATACTTCTCTGTGTGTCCTAGAGCCTCCTGCCCCAGTGGGCCTGAATGTAGAACCCAGACAGGCAGCAGAAACTCTCCTTCCGGTTCCTTCTCACACGGCTCAGCCTTGTCTGGGCACACATGACTGCACCCATGGCAGTCTCGAGCATCTTTCTCTGGACAGGAACTGGAAACTTCTAAGAGCCTGTTCGATATATTAATATTCAAAGGAAAGAAAAAATGGTCTCACCGGAGACTCCCGTAGTGCCAGGCTGCCCGAGACGCACATTTTGGAAGAGTTGAGTCCCACACCACATTCCTTTTACTTTCAGCTTTCTCAGAATTAACAGCACCTGGAGGCCTCCCCAAAGAGCTGGAGGTCGGAAAGGGTTAGAATATGTGGGAAGTGCCTATCCTGACACATGCTCGTTATTGGTTTAAGGAGCATCAAATTCAGAAGCAAACAGGAATACCAGCAAATCCGACACTTTATTAAGACATCTTAGGCTTTCCTGTATTTTTTAAAAAACAGGTTCTATTGAGTGAACACATCAAAAGGACTCTGAGGAATCCCTGGGGACCAGCCGCAGGAGGTGTCACGTGAAGCTGTCATCCCAGACCACGGCAGCTAGTTTTAGCAATCCCAGGAAGCTGGCAGCCAGTTCTCCATCTGCCTAGGGAAGGGATCTTCACTCTCTGAACAACTTCAAGTCACAGCTCAGTCTTTCCAGGCCCGGGAACAAAGGCCGCAGCCAGGTGCAACAGTTTATGAGGCTTTATGTGTGCCTTTTATACATGCCACGGGAGCCCAATCTCTGGGAACCACAAACCCGAGATGCAAGTGAGTGACCGCTGCTGTCGGTTGATGGCTTTAGCAGCCACACGATCCTCCCTTTGATGTCCAGGGTCAGTGCATTCCTGGCCCCACTGGGGCTAGGAGGAGGCATAGGAAAGAGTCTCACTGTGATCTGTCCTGTGAAGAAAACAGCAATAAACTTTATTATCCAGTCACCTCGGTCACTCCTGACAGGAGTTCCCCCATCTATGCCCTCCACTTGAGAGGGAGCTTTCGTGGGAGGACAGGGACGTGAGTGGAGCCACACGTCACAATCCTAGACCTAGGGTGCACAGCCACACCATGGGCTACGCAGGGCTGTGAAGCCCAAAGAGCTACG